GGTTCATCGCATCGGAAACAAAAAAGCGAAAGAATTTGAAACGCTGATCACGATGTTTTTATTCAGTCTGTGTCAGTCGGTAACGCGTGAGTGAATAGTGGTGATTGCTGAGCGGCTCAAACGAAATAAAAAATGGCACATATTTATGCGGATCGGTTTCCCAATCGAGTGCAACCAACCCCTCGTACCTTTGTTAATGTAGTACAACGGGCTCGTGAATCAGGTGACTTAAGACCTCACAGAGGACTGCATGCCGGTGCTCCAAGACATCACGATCAAATACAGGTCCGCACTGAAATACTTGTCGGGAGGATAAGGTAAAAAATTTTTTTTATTTTTTTTTATTTTTACACACATATTTTGGTTTATCTTCCTTCTACAATCACTATCTGAAAATTAATGACTCATTTTCAAAGTCACCCTGTATATATATATATACTTAACACATTTGTACATAGTAACCTACATCCACAAGATGGTGTTAAAGGTGGTTGTCACATGTGTGATTCACACATTTCTCCTTGGCTAAAATTAGTTGAGCTGAGGAAATAATACGGAATTAGAAAATATACAGGGTGTGGATACAGAATAGTAAATGAATCAGATTTTTAGAGTAGTTCAGTATATTCTACTTATAGACGGGTTGAAATTGGGGAGTGCTGCAATCGCCGTATCCCCAACTACCGAAACTGATGTTATTCAGGACCGTTGCTGTGGACTAAATATCGAAGAAGCTATTTTCACAGATTTCCAGTTGGACGTACCGGTAATGACGATCTACTGCTCACGTTCATTACTAATTTTTTACTGTATATTTCGGAAAATATAACAAGCTGTAGTCCTTCACCAACCACCATCAGTACCGACAATGACCTTGAACCATTTGTCTTCTGACAGTTCTTGTACTCCTTCCAATTAAGCTAGTGGACCTGATAGCGAACCAGAAGAGGTAACATATCAACTCCCTAAAAAACAACGAAAAAAAAGCAGACCCCCCATCTCTGGAAAAGGTCTGTCGTGAGGACTTTAAGATTAAGTGGCGAAAAATATGTAAATCGAGCTGGTAAAACCATACCAGTAATACTTCCAAAAATAGTAGACTGCTCTAAATGTCGCTATAAATGCAGCAACTTTCTTTCGCAGGATGAACGGCAAATATTATGTAAAGAGTATTATCAATTAGCAGACTAGACAAATATAATTAAAATATATTTAAGTTCTCTAATGGAGAACGTCCCGGTAAGCAGAAGAAAAGTGCACTCCACTGACTAAAGACTGAGCCTCTTCTAGAATATACAGGTACAATTTAAAAAACACAAAGAGTACCACGAACCAATGTTCATCATTGCTAACACAGCATCCCTGTTGATGTTGCTTTCGGACGTGTGGAGGTTGAATGTTGCATTGCACATATTGCACTTCACAAAATAGGTAGAAATCAAGCCCTCTCTTTCCTCTTCAAGGAAAATTAGGTTTCCCAAGGTACATCCAAAGTTTGCCGAATGTTGAGAGATTTCCAGAAGTGATTGGAAAAAAAATGTACATCTACTATTCGACGTCTTACAAGAATGTCTTCGTGATGATTGGCGCATTCGATAGAATGCATATGCGAAACCTTGCTGTCATTTCTAAGCTAAAATAACATATAAAATATAATTATGATAGTAACTACGTATAGTCTAATTTATTGGCAAAATGAATGCTAAAATTCATAATTGTTTTGGTACCTACCTTTCTATCTGGAAAACGTCTTTTTTTTCTGTGCGTATTTAAATGCGGCTTCTTCGAGACGCCACGTTTATTTCTCTTATAGTTCATTTTTGAGACCTTGGTAAGAAAGACACTCAACAATAACAACACAACAATAACAACGATAATACAACAATACAATAACGGTAATAAGAGTATAATAAGGGCTGGGTATACTATGCGCCAAAATAGGGAAACAGTCGTACGCTAGATCGTATATCCAAATCAAATCCGACTCTGTGCAATATGCAAATTCAACCAGGCACGCGAACATCACACGTCTGCGTATTTCTATCCTTTTCTAACGTAGAGCGCTTGCCTTGTCACAACGCCGTCCTACTAGCGTTTCCCTATCACCTCCCCGATACCCCTCAGAAACTCAGCTTGACTGTGAGAGCGCCGTTAAGCATAGATTATGCCATCAATACTTTTGTGCTACGTTTGATATTTCACATCGACTAATAGAGACAGTAAATAAATAAACGGATAGACTTCCAAGCCTCATAACATAACTCCCTTTGCAATTAAGCAGCAAGTAATGAGTTCAAAAATCGAGTCTCATTATTGTAGACGAGACTCAAAAAAAAGTACCTATCACCAGAACTAAACATTTCTATAAAGTATCGCCTATATCAGGAATATTGCGAAGAAAATGATATGAGTCCTGTATCTAGGTTCGTGTATCAGTGTATTTCATGAACATGACCCACCACTTTCCTTTTATAAACCAAAAAAATACTAATTTACTATATGCAATATATTTAAGGCATCGCAAAGCAAATAAACTTTACGTGTCAACTTCGAAAACCATAAACGTCGAGAGAAGAAGTCACTAGAAATGGAAGAAAGTGATAAAAAACACGAAGTGGAAAACGGGGGAGAGAATTCAGACCAATCTCTTTTGATTTGCAAGCCATTTTACCCATTCTTTTTGCAGATGATAGTCAAGTATATTACAAATCTCACCTCAATGTATACAACTTCACGATCTATGATTGCTCGAACAAGGATGGTATTTGTTACGCATGGGATGAAACACACGGCAGCAAGGGAAGCTCAGAAATTAAAATCTTGACTTTATAAGTATTTGCAAAGTTTGCCTGAAACTATCGAACATGTGGCTACATTTTCATACACCTGTGGTGGTCATAACCGCAACAAGTTCGTTAACGCTGCAATGCTATACTCAGTTAATAAGCTGTCTAATTTAAAAACCATTGATCTGAAGTTCATGGAGTTTGGGCACTGCTATTTAGAGGCCGACTCCATGCATGCCAGTATAGAAAGAGCAAGGAGACATACAAAAATGTATACTACATGTGAATGATATTTACTAATATCCGCTAGTAGACTCAAGCCACGACCATACCACGTAAATAAAATGCGAATATCTCCTTAATCACGAAACCATTCCATTGGATTTCGCAGACTTTATTAACAACCTGCCTCTAACCTCGGATCTTTCAAATCTTATGCTACATTCCCAGTTTGAAGATGACCATTAAACTTCATACATTCACCGAGAAATTGGAAATTGTTGACTGACTCCCTTGTGTTACTATTTATTTTATTGTTCTCTCTATCATAGTTGGGCCAAGTTTGTAATAGGTAAATATTTCAGTTATTTTAATTAACAATAAAAGCATGTGTTAAGTAACAGTGCAATATGGTACAAATGTGTTAAGTGATGACAAATAAATCTTTTTTTTAAATTGTCAAAGGTTTTTTCCTACCCGGATTAAGAAGTATGTAATCTACAGAGAAATGTTCGAATTGCCAACTTTAATGTTCATTTCTTTAGTAATAACTCTCTAATCAATTTTACTTTCGAGTCAAAGTTATTTTACTGTGTAGCGCAAAAGTAGCATTTTGGTCTTACTACATTTAGGCGCTACACCATCAATGTACCCTTATTTATAATGTAACCGCTTTTTCACGATTTCAAATTGCATTTCGATAAGCTGCTCCCTTATTGGTGGAAGTCTCCGTCAAATATAAATCTTCGTGAAATCGGCTCTCATTAGATTATCATAAGGTGACATAGAAGATGTCAATGGAAACAATAGAGTAAAAAATATACAGAAAATAAATAAGTAAATAACACTCCTTGGTGTAAGACAGTCAAAATCAAATAAACATTGAAATATAAAATAGACAAAATTTAACTAAAAACAAACATTGAAAACACGTGTTAGACACAGATTAAAATATCGCTATGTTTAAATTACATAAATAAACTAGATTAAATCAAAAAAGAAACAGAACATAAAAAAGAACAAGGACGGTAACTGCTGAAATTAAGATATAGGATATTACACACTGTTATAAACTGTATTGTCAGAACTACTCCTACTGGTCGCTTGTCAGGGTATCTGACAAGTACTCATCCAAAGAGTAATATGCTTAATTTTTTAATAAGGCTATAATTTCATGTTTGACAATAGTGAGTGGCAGGGCCCTGATGGTGTTTGGCAATTTGTTGAACAACCTATCATCCATTTAATTCGGACTGCATTCTGTTCTGCACAATCTGTGCGTGCAACCCTGTAGGATAAGCGATAATGCAGAAAAACTATATTTTGGAGTTTAAATCTTCAACATTGCTTTGAGGTGTCATCTTGGAACATTTTTTTCATGGAACGTTTTATAATACTAAAATATAAAATCATTATCTTTCAAAATGGCAAGGTTGAACGTTTTTTCATATTGAATCGCTCAAAACTCAGCTAAACGCTACAGTATGTTAGGTCAATCTCATATTTCTTCTCCCTTAACACGCATAAAAAATAAATTTAAAGTTTTCAATTTAATTTTAATTTAATTCAATTTAAAAGTTGACAGATTTTAAATTCTTTTTTCTTCAAAATTGAATGTTCCAAATCTGTTTATATATTCGGATAGACAGTTCCAAGTGACAGATATTTGTATAACATTCTGATGATTAATTATTGAGCTAAAAGCGATCCAATGTACAAAAAACGATTAATTTTGAGAGCCATTTGGAAGATAGCGATTTTATATTCCAATACTCATAAGTAATAAGTCGTGGTATCCCGTAACTCATTCTACTTTAAAAAAGGTCCAAGGCGGCTTGCAGCCGCTGTTTTGAAATTTTCAATTGTTAGTCTTACGAAAAAACAGTATTTGTGCATACATTTCATCATCCTGAACTTCAGCTTGCTTGACCTGTTCAAAAACTAAGTAGTAAAGGGGGCACAGTATGCAGGCTATATTGGAAATATTGCTTTCAGGAGCTGTATCATGAGCAGTGCGAGTTTGTATGCGTAATGTTCGCATCAATACCTAACTTCTCGGAATTCTACGTAGAACTGGAGGCTAACAACGAAGGTGTGGAGTGTTTAAGACTGCTCAATGAAATTATCGCAGATTTTGATGAACTCCTGTCCGAGGAAAGGTTCAAGTACATCGAAAAGATCAAGTCTACAGGGTCCACTTATATGGCGGCATCTGGTGAGTTGCGTAATACCACTTTTTTCTAATACACCATGTGACAGTACGTCTCATTGGCGATTACCCGGTGTTTATCAATCTGTTGGTTTGGACACCTAGAAATGAGACAGGAACAAAGAGAAACAGTAGAAGAAGAAAACATGAGAGAACAGAAAGAGCAAGAAAAAATGCAAGTACTAGTAGAGGAAATGCCTAAAAGCTGTTGAAATGAATGGCATATGTTTGATTCTCCATAAGATAATTTGCCTCTTTTGTGCTTGCCCATCAATTGGGCCACCTGCGTTGGGCGAACAATAAGGATATACCTCTGGTTGATATTTGCCATAAACAGGAGGGAGTGTTTTTAAATCTCGCATTCGTGATTTGTCGCATGAAAATGTCTAACGGTATAGCAAATTGATGTACTCGTTTCGACATCGGTGAGGCATGCGACATATTCTCGCTTGGGACACTGGAATTTTATTTTTGTGATTCTTGTTATCGTTGTCACAGTGCTGTCACTTTTGTAAAGTTATTTGACTTTAAGACGGACGTTGGAAAATAGGGGTCAGTAACGAAGAAAAAAGTAAGTATTTGCAAGCAAACTCCTACTTTGTCATTTGCTATTTTGTCGAACGGTGAAATCACAAACGCGTCATTCCTTAACGATCTTAGCATCGCGAGATTTTGTCGAATGAAAAATGTTGATTGCGAGATTCAAGAATGATCCATGCATTTCGTGCGACAAGTTAGCTGACCCGCATGCGCTATTGATCATATGACTGACTGACTCGTAGCAGGAATGCAAAATTTTGCACTGGGTAGTTTTGATATAGTCTCGATACTTCTGAGGAATGACTTCCTGCGTAATAAATATATTTTATTAGAAAATGCTTCTTGATGACCAGAACGAACACGATTAGTGTTGATCATAGTTCGAGCCGCGACCTGGAATTTCTGTGACTTGCTCAGTCAACACAGTGTGCGAATCCGCTTAACTACAGTATCACCCCGTATTAGTTATAGTGTGAAGAGTTAGATAAAGAATATCGCAATCTCCATATGAGGTCTTGGCACTTGCTACGCACGCATAGAGTCTTGCACCAAACTAAATGTTTCATAGGTGGTGGTGGGTCCTGTGGTGGATCTGGTAAGCATTTTGTTTGATAACTAAGGGTGGATTTCACCAAGGTTGTCAAATTAACAGTCTGTTATTCTCTACCTATAGGGTAACAGTCCGTCAAATACAGCGAATGAGCTTGAAGTTCCAGTCAACAAATTTTAGCAAGCAAATACTGTAGTAAGTATGAGATGACAGCTTGTCATTGAAACATCACCAGCTTATTAAATATCAAGAAATTACATATGATTTAGTCAAAATTTGAAACAGCATCCGATTTTTGAATAAAATTCATGTTTTTGTTTAATATTGTCGATTGTTTATTCAGATCAGAACCACTATGAGACTGATATTCCCACAAAACCATTCAGGTTTTTTGATATCCATACATCCATAAATTTGAATATTTTTCGTTGTTCAGGAACTGAACAAACATCCACACTATATTTACAGCGATTAAGAAATACCCAAATATATCTTAAATCATTAGATTTAGAAATAACTTTTTAAAAATTTTTATTTGAGGACTGAAGCTTCAGTCCATATAAAATACAAAGGATTACAAATGTGACATTTACGGAGTCTAACCCGGTATTGAACTTATCAGTTAGCGTACATTACGATGTCGCGCCGGGTATTGAACAACAGGATATGGCCGCGAGGCCTATTTATACATTCGGAAAGCTGACTAAGAATTAGTAGAAAACATCAAAGGCACTATTCTAGCAACGGATTAGCGAGAAGTTGTTATCATATGCTGACACAGCGTCTGGTGCAACATTGTATAATAACTGCGTAGTTACTATGGCCATATAACAACTCCCCCCTATTACAAAAAGTTGTTGCTATGCGCCAACTTTTAACAAAAATTGAGAAACGTAAAATATCAAAAAAAATGTCAAAAGTAGAAATTTGTAAAAATGTAAAAATTGTAAAATTATAAAAATTGTAAATGTGTAAAGTGTAAAATTGTAAACATTGCAAAAATATAAAAAGGTGTAAAAATATAAAAATAGTAAAATTACAAAATACAAATTGCAAAAGTAAAATCAGAAAATACAGATTCTGAAAAATAAAATTGTTAGCATAAATGCGGTACATTGGCGATGCAAAATATTATCTAAAAGCAAAGCTAGAACAAACAAATAATAAGATACAATCGTACAGTCGTACGGGCAAAATCACATGGAAGATAACACGAAAATTGACAATGACTTTTTGAACAGTGAAAACACTTCACGGAACACTCACTGCAGTTCGATGTCTTCTTCATGTGGCTGAATGGTTGGTCTACTAGTACGTCGAGGAAAAAGTCTGGGAATGTACCGGACCTTTGGTGCTCCTGGAGATGGGCCATCGGCTGGATAATTTGATGCGCAGATGCTGAGTGGTCTACGTTTTCTGCACTTGCAGAACAGGTACAAAGCTACGATGATAACTAACAGGGTGATGATGAAATACGTGAACCATGAGAGATGTCTCGAAACAAACGGCTCGTTCATAAATTATGTCCAGTTGTTCAGAGTATTGGTTTAATTTGTGATTGACAATTTCGAGTTCTTCAGTATCGATCTTGCTTAGCTTGATCCTTTTGTATGTGATATTCTTGTACGTGCTAACAGAATATCTAGAATGTAATCTCGTGGTGCCTACAAAGCCACTGCATTCGGGCTGCATTTTTAAAAGTGAATTAACTTTTATCACTCCGGTGGTAGTCTCTCGTTGTCCACACTTCATCGTAATTGGCAGAGGACTAGATATGGTGATTAGCCAAAAATTGGTTGCAAGTTCTTGGCTTTTGTAATCTTGCAATGCCACAATTGCTATTTGGCAGGCTGTCGGCAGATCGACCGGATTTCGCAACAACTGTGCTTCGCAGGCTGCATTACTGTCTATTGGATACGGCAAGAGGTTGAAACAGATTTTCACCTGAGACTGAAGAACTTTACAACTACCTAAATTTTGAAAGGAAACGTACAAAAGAGAATCGCTATCTTTAGCAATGTATCTCTGTATAGTGGAAACTACATGAAACAAACCAGTACGTTTATCGAGAATGGGTAGAGGAATCACTCTGTATAAAGTATACATTTCGGGCTCTAATAACGGGATGCGTAGGACGAATACTACTCTTGTTTTAGTTTGATACGCTTCGAGTTCCATAAGATTAAGGTACTCTGACACTCTTGCCAAATTAACCGGAAGGGGTAAATTATTTCTCGACAAAGTGTGAGAGATTTCTTGAAGAGAATTTACTGTCTTGAGGAGTGATAATAGAAGGATGTATTATTTTTAAACGTGCAAAAGTAGTTGAATTTAGAATATCATTAATTGTCTCTTCTAGAAACATGTAGCTTTCCATTAATTGTTCGCAAACTTCTAAAAATTGGAATTTAGCTTCATAAAATGCAAGATCCTCTGAAATTTCATAAATTTTGTTTTCAATAACCTTAATATCTTCATTAAACGTAGTTTCAGCAATCATAAGTTTTTGAATAGTGTTATTAAAGTTCTTGATAACCGACTTGGTAACAGAAATTTGGTTCTTCATGAGGTTTTCGAGCTCATGTTCATCTTTAGAAATTGTGTTAATACAATCGTTATAGTATTCACCGTCCGATGAATCGAGGTTGCCGGTTATTGCTTTCCATATGGTACCTATAGCGTTAATCAGACCGCGTTTCATCCGCGATGCGCTTACAGTGTCATCGAAGATCGCGTAATATTTAGATTCCAAGGAACGAGAAATTTGATAAAGGAGACTTGTATGAGTTTTAATTTCGCCACTAAATATTTTCATACGATTGGTGGGTTTGTCTACGAGATATGATAAGTGTTCCAGAATATAGTTGTTATCGTCAAGTGCTTTCTTAATGAGTTCTACGTCTTTATATACAAGGAGTGTCCAAATTTCGTTGGAAATCTTAAGAGGGGCGTCTTCATGAAAATAGATACCTAAGGTGTTGTTAATCGGTTTGATGTCTATCTTGGCTATGAGAGCCGCAAGAAACAGCAGACTGCACCTGAAAGAGAAACTAATTCTCAAAATATGGTTTCAGTCTGTCAAAATTAACTTTACTTATTCTATTTGTTTCCGGGTTCTTAAGGAGCGCGGAATTTTCAAAAACATGAGTAATTTCGAATGGACCATCAAATTTGTTCTGAATCTTGTTTGAAATTTGAGACTGCTTCACAAAGACTTTATCGCCAACTTTATATGATTGTAAATTGGGTGACACTCTACTATCAAAGCGAATTTTTGCTTTTTGCTTCTGTTCGTCAGTTCTCACGGGGGCAATTTTGAAGTAATATTCGAGTTTATCCGAATGTCTCGAACATACTTGGACATCAATTCTTTTTCTAAATATACGTCTTCGGGCGGACGACCAGATGTGTGGCCCAACACGAGCTCGTATGGTGTAAAGCCAGTAGTTTTACTTCTAGTGCTATTGTAGCACTGAACAGCATAGGGAAGAATATTGAAGGGATGTTCGTCGGGATTTTCGGATACATGGGATCTGATCATTTCCAATAAAGTGGCGTGAAATCGCTCAATCGAGCCATTGGACTGGGGATGGCTGACACTAGAAAAAGTTAATTTAATGTCATAAAGACTACAATGGTCTTTCATGAGGGCGTTGTCAAATTCTTTTCCGTAATCACAGTGTATTCGGAGAGGTGTACCATAATGTTGGAAATATAAAAGTAGAGTATTTACTACGGATTTTGCAGATTTGTCGCCAATTGGATAGGCTTGAGAAAATTTTGTTAGCCCGTCTCGGATTGTGAGAGCGTAGCATTTAGGTGGGACTTCCAAAATGTCAATGTTGATTCTTTCGAACGGGGCTTTAGGGGTTTCAGTTACTACTAAAGGGGCACTGAGGTTTTTACGACAAATTTT